ACTTATCTGATATTAATAATCCTGCTATTGTCAAACACAAAGGACGACCTCCAAAAAGACTTAAAGCAAATGTTGAATAATCTTTACATAAAGGAAAACAGGTGTTAAAGAATAGTACACAAGTTAATGTAATGGATAATAATGAAGTAAAGGGTCGGAAGTGTGGAAAGTGTAAGAGATATGGACATTATGCAAGAACGTGTCAAAATATGTAATACGTGTCGAAGTATAATATTATGTGATGTATTGCTTATTTTTGATATTTTAGCATGCATTGTAAATGCTATTACATTTAATAAAAGATTTGCGGAAGTTTAAATTATTTGAATCACGAGATTTATATTAATAATTTTAACCAATCATATTTAATCACATGATGCGTGTATTTACACCTAGTATACGAATAGTAATTTCCTTATTATAAATACTATATTACAATAAAATAAATACTATTATAATAATAAAATTTCGCATTATATTTTACTAGTAAAAATGATCATATTACGCATTCTTCTAGCAATTTCATCTATTCATTTCTTTTTAACAATTTCGTGACATACAATATATGAAAATCATTAAGGTGTTGTTGTTATAGAAAATTAGCAGTAAATAAAATAGAAATGCTTATTACAGAAAAAGTACTAGTCGTATAATTAGTAAAAAAAACAATTATTGTAATAAAACAATACCAACATTAGGAAGGATGATGTTTGACAAGTATTAATACATGCTAAACACCTAATATAAACTATTAATAAATTAAAGATTTGAAGTTCTATCAATATAAGTAATAAATAGAATACCTCATATTTTACAATCATAAGTTATTGGCAATGTTTTTTCTATTTTGAGATAGAATCACTATGTTTTTTATTATATTATCTAAAGATTTCATTACTTTAGTGTCTCTTGAATCATAATTTATAATAAATGCCTTTCAAACGAATTTTTGTAAAGTAAATAAAGAGTTTTAAGCTTTTAATTTATTCATATTCATTGCGTTCAACTATCTTTGCAAGATGTTTATCATTTTAGCTTCATCGACGAATATAATTACTTCACTTTCTGAAGGTCGAATTGCATTTGTATTTCGTTGTAAATAAAAGAAATAAATTAGTGAAAAATATCCAGTATAATTAAAATAAAACAAATAAATAAACTGCTTACTTATCCTTTTTTTCTTTGAATATATTGATCGATTCTTGAATAAAATCAAGAAATTTGTTTCAGAAGTCATTAAATTTTGTAGTTGCTACATGTAACTATTCTGTTCCTTCATCTGAGTTAATTTCATAATCAAAGATTTGCCAGTATAACTCTTCAATAGCATACTTATTAGGATTTCAAACCTGAAGAAATAAACATTTTAATTCTTCAAGAAAATTCCAGCTCATTGTCTTCAATATTTGGTTTACACCAGTTGATAATCTTGACGTTAATGAATTAGAATTCAAAATAAAGTCAAATACGCCTGTAATTAGTGTTTGTATTGATAAATATATATGATATAGCAAATAATAAGATGTTTGGATTTTCACATAACCAACAGCATATTTCATGAACATTTTCCATATCTCTGAATGCTATCAGAAATTGATTAGATTTTAATATTTGATGAAGCGTATTAGTTGTATTTGAATGAAATGTATTATCATCATTGAATCTTGTATTAGATCAAAATGTGAGATAAGGATTCAAATAAAATATGTTATCAAGTCCTGTATATGCATTGTTAGATTGAGACGTATAATTACAGTTCTTGAAAAAAGTAATCAGAATTACAAAAAATGTAATAAATAAAAAATTAGTGATTAAAATTACTTTAAATTTTAAAGATTTGTTGATAAATATATAAATATTATATATATAAAATTTCAGCTATTTACTTTATTTCCTTATCTCACAATCACATTTTTAATTAAAAAAAAATCATTAAAAATTTAAAGAATGAAAAATTTGTTAAGTTTTTATATAATACCTC